ATACAAATCACCCTCACAAAGAGGGTGGTTATTTGGAAGGATGTTGCTGCAACATGATTTACAAATTACGGGAAAATAAACAGAGAAATGGCGTGATACCACTAGTGTGCTCTCCCTTTGTACACAACATAAACACACACTCTGCCTAGCTTTGTGTCTAATAATAGATCAGTTAAGAACCACTACAATATTGGCTAACCTTATTGCAGAGGGTGGGGAAAGCCCAGTGGGAGGGTGCACAGCCTCCAGACAGAAGGTGTCAGATCCAAATTCCCGAATCTCTCCAGCTAAAAAAAGAAGACTAACCGAGATTCCTGAGAAATGTGTGCTAGTGATGAACCAATGGCCTGAGTTCAATACAGATTTGGTGGCCAGATTGCTGACTGGAGCAGGGTGATCTGAATACATAGCACTGATTCTGGCATGACTACACTGGCTGCCAGTTAGTTTCTGGGCTCAGTTCAGTGCTGGCTTTGACCTTATTCAGCTGAGGACCCCAGGACCCCAAGGACCACCTCTCCAGACATGATCCAACCTGGAGCCTGTGTTCATCATCATCATCTGATGCCCTTCTTCATGAGCCTCCTACATGGGAGGTGGAAGGTAGCATCCCAAGATTTGGATTTTTAGAGGAGGTTCCCCACTTGCAGAATGCTCCCTCCAGGGAGGCATGCCTGGTGCCATCTTTATCTACTTGTAGGCATCAGACAATGACTTTTTCCTTTACTTGGGATATTAAACCTTAGTTTGAAGGGTGGTTCTGTGGCCTCTTTTAGTAGATCCTGATCTGATTCATCTGTGTTTTTAGAGTTTTATCCAATGTTTGTAATTGGTTTTAATGTAAGTTGCTTTGGGTTGCTCTGTGAGAAAAATGACTTAACAAATAAAAAAATAGGCGGTTTCAGCTGGAGTTGGGAAGACTGCTCTGGGCTCCTGTCAGAGTGAATAGGGACAGGAGATAAATTCAATTCAGAATACATAAAGCTGAATCTATCAAATTTGCGGTTTCTAAAACAACATGCAAACCAAAACACAGCCATCCTCCAAAATGCATGCTTAATCCGAATTTTGCAATTCAATTCTCCAACCAATGTTTACAAAAATGCATAGTTTATGGGAAAGTGTGCATGAAAATGAAAATATTCATGGACATACAAAAATGTGTTATATTAGGGGAAATTGCTTGAGCCACATTCAACCTGTAATAGATTGTTTTGTGAGGGTCTCCCTTTTTTTAACAATAAATATTGGGGTTCCCCTGAGCCTATTGATACCTCTGCTTTCTATACAGGTTGTGCCATTTTGGATACTTAATGGTCCATACTCAGATAATTAATCTTGGAGCTCAACTTTTTTTCATTCTTCCTACCTGGTCAAAAATCCTTCCTTCTTGTGCAGTGGCAGCCCAGAGCTCGACGGAGCAAGCTCTATATGGTTTCAAAAGTGCTCCTCCTCCCGAGAGCATTTCAATTTCATCTTCGATTGCACACAGCTCCTTATGGAAGATAATAAGACGTGCAGCGGCCTGGCTGCCTTCTGTGTTTCATGCTTCTTTATTCCTTAATGCACAGGTGTGTGTCTTTTGCCCATGTGGAGATGGAATGTCAGAGAGGCCCTGCATCCATAAGTTAACTTAGAGAAGGGGATGCCTGGGGACCCGTGGGATGTGGTGGTTGCTAAGACAACCGCCACACTGCTGCTTACGAAGTCCGTGATCGCGCAACTCATCCTGTCATTTGCTCACCAGTTACTCATTTATTTGAACAGGGAGGAAGAGTGGGACCCCTCCTGTGCCCCACATCACAATACCTGGCACAAGCTGGTAGCAATCGCTGGTGCCGAGGAATAAATGGATGCCTCATCTGGTCAGTAGGAATAGAAATCCCAGGTGCTGCCTCCTGCAGGGTGCCCAGGTAAAAATGACAGACTTTTAAAAGTGCATATTGGGTGTTGGGGGCACTGGACAGGCAAGGCTTGTCCTTTGCATCCCATCTCGTTGGTACAGGGCAGGAATTGCTGGGAAACTGAGGCATGACACAATCTGTTTCTCAAAGCAGAATAAAATCAAGGGGCAGCCAATGTGGCATCCTCCAGATGTAATTGGAAAGGGTGATGGGAACTGTGGTCCAACATTCATCTGGAGGGCCCTGCATTGCCTACTTCTGGATTAGATTGAGCATCCTTAGTTGAACTCAGATGCCTTTGGGAGGAGCAAAAGCAGGGCAGGAAGGCAACAGGCCCTCCTATTGTTTCACACATGACACTCAAAGGTGTACCTCGCTTAGCTAGCTACATAGCTAGCTATCATGTCAAATAACCGCTGATATCTGCCTCTTCCTGCATCATTTTCTTCCTGCATCCTTTTAAAAACAAACAAAATGCCCGTCTTCACATCTTGTGGTTGAATTTTGGTGGTGTTTGTTTTGTTTTATCTGCTGCTGGTGTTCTTAGTTATTTGTGTGTGTGTTTTGTTTTGTTGTTATTTTGGGCCTTATTTGTTTTTGCAAACAACATGAGGGTCCACCCTGAAAAGTGGGTAATTAAAAACATGAAACAAACACAATGGTAAGGAGTAAATTTCATATCTTCCAAGTGGATGATGCATTGCATGAAGGAGGGGAGGGCAGTACATCGGGGGGGGGGGCATTGTTTGTGAAATGAGAAAGGGAAAGGAAGGAAAGAGGAATAACTGTGGCTATTCAGTTGTGGGGGGAACAGTGATATACTAAGAATTATCTGTTCATTTCTTTTGGCTTGTTTACTTCATTTCTATCCTGCCTTTCTTCCGTTGAAGAACTGAAGGCGGCCTTCAGAGGGGAGGGCTAGGTTTCGTTTTTGGGAAGATGCAAAATAAGAATCCTTTCACCCCACCACCTCTTTTCTGTGGAGCAAGAGAACTTTGCAAAACAACATAACATAATTTTGCAGGACCTCGCAAAGTGTTTGTGCATTCACATTTACCTTTTCTAGCTTAAAGAGGTTGCCGATGAAGGGTCTTCCTTGAATCCTAAAAGCATTTAGGGGCAGCCCCGTGCTCGCTCCCAGTGGCAGGGAACTCTCTGACACCAGCTTCTAGCCAGGCAGATCTTACGGGAATGTTTATAATGGAGAAATTTCACCTGGCTTTCTGAGGCAATCTTTGCTTTGCTCCCACACTCTCTTGAAAGGTTGAAAAAACTGCTGTGTGAAATTTTGAAACAGGACGTCTCCCATTTGGACACAGACTAGGCATGGACGCACATTGCTTCAACAAGAGGGCTGCATCATCCAGGCCAGTTTTCTAACACACTGCCTTCTGCTATATAGGTGGCTGATTTAAGCATTTGGCCAGCTATGCAATCAGTCTATTCACTTGGTTTACACAGGAGGGTTCCCATCTCATTCCCACACTAATCTGCATTAAAACTCACATTTGAATTGTATATATCTTAAATGTGTTTTCTCTCAAAACACACATTTCTAAATGTATTTGCTTTCACAATATGCTTTCCAAAGTGCATTTGGCTTGACAGTCTGCTTGGCATGTTTTTATATGCCTCCATATGTCTACAATGTTACGAATGATGCTTTTATTGTTTAAGTGTATTGGATTTACGAAGTGTTCTGTACATGCTTCTGTACTGAACAGGGGCATCTGCCTAGAGGAAGAGTGGCTCAAAGTCATTTCTAATAATATATATATATAAACTCTACAATTCTATTATTATATGAGTGCCCACTTGCTTGCCCAGTCCCAACACTCCATGCTAAGAGCTATGTCCACCCCACTCTTCAAAAGGGAGGTGCAAGGTGTGTGTCACTTGTTGGATCAACATCTTAGCTTGCACTTAGCCATGCAGTTATACCTCTTGTGTACCTGCCGCTCCATGTAACCTGACCTTGCCTGCACACCAATTTGCTTGATGCATTAAACTATGGAAACGGAGTCCATAGTCCAAGGGCTGGGCTATACTGGCGGAAGCTGTGATCAGAAACCATTAAAGGGCAAAGGGCTGCTGATGAAAGGTGTAGAATGTGCCACTCAGGAGCTCACAAGCTTTAATCCCCAAGGATAACCCATCCTCAGGTGTCTTGGGATGACTTGTAAAGGGCACCCGCACCTTGTTCCTCATTCCATCTTGTATCATAATAAGACAGCCTCCATGAGTTTGAGGGATAATTAGTCCAAACCAGACGCGTCTGCGTTGCCGCTGATAACAAGCATCTGCAAAGGGAAGACTGAAAGGGTGTCATGGATTAGAGCTGTAAAATCCTTGTAGCAACAAGACTGCTCCTCTTAATCCAGAGCTTGCGTTTGCAGATCATGAGCAAGGAGGGAGGCAAGAAGCAAGGACTTTGCTTCTTCCCATGTTTTTGTTTGGACAGCGACAAAATGTGTCCTCTCAGCCAACCCCCGCCCCGCCCATGAGGAGAAGCCAAAGACATTTGCTCCCCTCATTACGATGCCCCTCTGCAATGTTCCACCTGCTTATTTTTCTTACACTGCAAGTGAAGCTTACGGGGGATATAAGATGAAGGTAACATGCTTTGCATTATGAATGATGCATCATCAGGTGCAGCTCTGAAGTTTGAACAGTCCCAGTGACCTTGTTTCTATTTCCTCCTTATTAGCCTTGAAGAATATGCTATCGGGGTGGGACGTGGATGTGCAGGGGCCTAATTTGCCAAAAGTGCACATGGAAAGAGAGCTGGAATTCTACTCCTAGCCCCTGAAAAATTCCCACCGGTGAATCTGGATCATGGGTACCCATGGAAAGGCAGGGAGGTGGATACCATTGCTTATAAGAAACTGTCTTATACTGAGGGATGGACAAAAGTGTAGTTCTGTCCTGTTCCAGTTCCTCATAGATGCAAAAGTGGGTCTATGATGCCCTATCTATCTATCATCTATCTATCTATCTATATCCATCCATCCTTTGGTCCATTGAGCTCAGCATAGTGTACACTGAGTGGTGGCGGCTCTCTGGAGTTTTCAGACAGCAGTCTCTCCCAGCCCTAGCTGTGGATGCCAGGGTTTGAACCTGGGGCCGTCTGCATGCAAGACAGATGCTCAGCACTGAGATACGACCCTCCCCGCCCCCATGGGAAAGGTTGTGCACAGACTGCAGCTCACCTTTCTCCCGATACGGTTGTTAAATGGTAACCCTCACAATTGTAATCACCCTCCGCCGCTCTGGCAGCAAGCCCTGTTTATTAATAAGCAATACAGCAAACATGGTTCCTGCCAGTGCATGGAATAAATAGGCTGCTTTCAAAGTGAATAAAGGATGCCTTCTGTGCCCCTGAACCATGTGACTGGTTTCCCAGAGGAGCAAGCTCTGCTCCTTCTACCTGGCTGGAAATGTGACGGTGATGCATGTTGCCACAGATGGTATTAATGACTGTCTATTTTTGTATAAAGACAATGGCTGAGCCTCTCCTTACCTGCCCCTCGAGAATTTGGTCTTGGCCTGCTTTCTTTTCCAACAGACACAGCAAAACACGGCATCCCGATTCCCTCTCTCGTTTTGTAGGTGTATAAAGCAAACCAGATGCAGCTTGATGCAATTTGTGTTTATTAGCAAGTTTCCTACCTTCCTAATTTGTTATGCTTAACATTCCGCCGTGGAGCAGGAGGCCTAATGCAAGCTGGCACTGCGCGATCCATTTAAGATACACCGTCACGTCTTGCAAATACCCTTGACTGGCAGCTTTACAAAGAAAAGAAGAGCAGAATAGAAAGAGCAACATCCACCTGAAATTCCTCCCCTCCCGCCTCTGAAATAAAGTGAAATGAAATGTTTGGCAAAAGAATCATAGAAGTTGGAAAGGACCCCAAGGCTCATCTAGTTCAACCCCCTGCAATGCAGGAATCACAGCTAAAGAAGCCCTGGCATCCAATCCATGTTGAAAATGCGCCAATAAAGGAATGTCTATCGCCTTCCAAAGCAGTCCATTCTACTGTCAAACAGCTCTGACCATCAGAAACTACTTCCTAATGTTTAGCTGGAATCTCTCTTCTCATCATTGGAATCCATTGGTTTGGGTCCTATCCCTTGGAGCAGCAGAAAACAAGCTTGCATCATCTTCCACGTGGCAGCCTTGTCTTCTCCAGGCTAAGCACACCCATCGCCCTCAGCCATTCCTCATATGGCTTATTTTCCAGGCCATTGATTGTCTTGGTGTGAAAGGTATGGTGTAAACCTAGAATAATAATAATAGTAATAATAATATTTGTACCCCACCCATCTGGCTGGGTTTCCCCAACCACTCTGGGTGGCTCCCAACATAATATTAAAACAGAATAAAACATCAAACATTTAAAACTTCCCTAAATTTCTCCTTCAGCATCAGTGGTGAAATTAGCAAGGTCCCTAAATTGGAATACCAGCCTTGGGAACTCAGAATTGTTTTCTTATGCCCTCTCACTTCTTCCTTTCTTCTCCCAACCAACTACTTACTTGGTGGCAGAAATGGTGTCAGTAGCCGCTTCACTGCTCTTCTCCTCCTCTGCAGCAGCTGTGCCAAGGGTGGGAGGAGCTCTCCTCCTCACTCCACTTCTCTCTGATAACACTAGAACTTTTGGCCACCCAATGAAGCTGAATATTGGGAGAATAAGAACAGACAAAAGAAAGTACCTCTTCACTCACTACATCATTACACTATGGAACTCACTCCCACAAGCTTTAAAAGAGGATTGGACAAATTCATGGAGGAGAGGGCTTTCAGTGGCTACTAGCCATGATGGATATGGTCTACCTCCACAGTTGGAGGAAGCAATGCTTCTGTATACCAGTTGCTGGAACCATAGAAGGGGAAGGCACTATTGTGCTCAAATCCTGTTTGTGGGTATCTCCCCCAACAGGCATCTGGTTGGCCATTGTGAGAAGAGGACGCATGACTAGCTGGTTCATTGATCTGATCCAGCAGGCTTCTCATGCTCTTATGTTCTCTTCTTTCCCTTTCTTGATACTTGGTGCCTTGCTAGACTAGCATTCTAGGTGCCTGGAATCCTGTGACTTGCAAGTCCTCACCTGGGGGAGCATTTGCCCAACCCATCACTAATTGAAATGAATAGGAACCAGGCAAGTATATGGCAGCAAAATGAAAGAGTATGATCCACCCAGCACCTCTGAGATGACTGGACACTGCAGAGGATGCAAACAGCTTAATCCACATGGAAATCCTTGTTTGTTACATTAATTATTACAAGGTTTGTGCTGGAGGGGTGGGCTCAAGCCCCGTCTCCCAATCTTATTTTCATTAGCAAGCCCATTGTGATAATTTTCTGCCTGTGCACCCCTTAAGATGACCTGCTTTTCACCCAGACATGTTCTTAAGTGGTCAGAGATGCAAATGCCTCTTTCCTTTCTTTGGGGAATTAAGTCTGTTCCCTCTTGCTAAAGTGCTTTCCTGTCAATCTCATCCATTTGAAGAGAAAAGGGGTCATGAAAATTCATATCCGTCTTGGGTATCCTCTGTACTGGATGACATTTATCTCCGCCGGGTCAGTTGAGAAACAAGTTGATATGAAAGTGAAATAATGTTAGGAGCTTCAGGAAGGGCAAAGGGAAAAAAACTGCAAAGGGAATAAGATAGCGGAAATGATTCTGTTAAGAAAATGCTGCTCAGAGGCATCTATCTTTGGGGAAATGTTATGAGGAACAAAGGAGCTTAAAAATGCAATTAACAGTTCCTGCGATCCCACTATTGCAAGGAATAAAACTTTTGGAAGCATGAGAAAGTATTGCAGCCACCCACTGAATCTTGCTGACCTTGATGAACACGACTTGGAAAGGCAGCATGTAACTCAGGCATATTGTCAGCTGAGCCTCAGAAGCCTGGTGAGGTGGATGGCAGCTGTGGGTGGGGCTGGAAGATAAGAAGAGCCTGCTGGCCAATGAACCATCTAGTTCAGCATCCTGTTATCACAGTGGCCAACCAGATGCCCCAATGGGAAACCAGCAAGCTGGACTAAAGCACAACAGCACTCTCCCCTCCTGTAGTTCCCAGCAACTGGTATTCAGAAGCATTTACTGCCTCCAGCCATGGAGGCAAAGCAGAGTCACCAGAGCTAGTAGCTATGGATAGTCTAATGCATCATTGTGGGAGGGTGTGATGCCCACCACTTTGAAGGAACCTCTCCTAAAGATGCTCACTCCAAATCTAGAATGGTTGGCTAGCTATCACCCAGTTGCCAACATTCTTTTGGTGGGTAAAGTGTTCAAGAGCACAATGGCCATCCAAGTTTAGATGTACCTAGATGAAGCAGGTTCTCTAGACCCATTTGGTATGACTTTAGGCCTGGGTATGGTACCAATACAGTCTTTGTCACCCTGAAAGGTCATCTTTATTGGGTAAGAGGTAAGGGAAGTACTACCTTGTTGCTTCTCCTTGAGCTCTATGTGGTCTTCAGTACTATCTTCCTGGAATGACTCCAGGTACTGAAGACCACATAGAGCTCAAGGCAATGTTTTGCAGTGGTTCCACTCCTACCTGCAGGGCTGTTAACAGAGAATAGCATTTGTGGACTACTCTTAGGGTGGATAGCATTTATGCCATGGGGTCCCTAAGGGTTTGATCTTGTCTCCCATGCTGTTTAGCATCTATATGAAGCCAGTGGGAAGAGCCGTCTGGAGTTTTGGAGTATGGGGGCATCAATATGCAGGCGATACCCAGTTTGATCTCTCCATTCCATCTGAATTAGGATACCATCTCTTCAGATGCCATGCTAGGGTCTAGAGGTAGTGATAGGATGGATAAGGTCAATGAACTGAAGCTGAATCCTGACAATGATACGGTACGTGTGAGTCAAAGTCCTGTTGCAGCTTATGCACAATGACTGTAGAATGCAGAACATTAAGTTGATTTATACACATGGTCCAAAACCTGCTTGAGATTATGTACATTGACTGGGAAATGTGCACACTTCCCTCCTCAAGGGCAGATGATGTGCATATTCTCCATGAGGCCCAGGGAATGTGCACATTGCCAATCATTTTGCACATCAAGCACTCATCTTACCTTCCCCTTAACATATACAGAAACATATATATTAGGATAAATGTGCACTAAAAGGCTGATGAATTTCAGTGATGACTTTTTTAAAAAATGCAAACTGATTCACAAATGGAGCAAACTGAATCCAAGCCTGGAAAAACAAGAAATGGAGAGGAACTGATATCAATAGATTTGTTCGTTCCTGCCAGAGGAAACCCTACTCCTGGTGAAGATGAACCTTGAAAATGCAAATGAGTGATCCCTTCTGGGTGGCCTTGAGTAAGCACTGCATTGCAAAGGAGCTAAAACAACTGAGCAAAGAAGGAACAAAGAAACAATATATGTTTTACAGGAAGCCAATCTTGTGCCAATGTATTTTCATAGGCAGTGTCATCAAGAGACTTTAGAAGACAATCTGTCATCTGCCTATCATAGCATGGGATTTTCACTCCTTCTTGCAGGTTGCTGTGACTACATTAATCACACTATTTTCTTTAGGAGTCCCCAGGAGTCTTATTTCAGCTCGGATCCTTTCCCTTCTCTGCTGTGGTTCTGAATGACTTCATTCTTCTACTTCTAGCACTGGCAATTTTGCATATTAGAGAAAGAAGCAGCAGAAATTTAAGGGACTACACAAAAGGAGGCAAAGAAAATGCAGGCCATGTCTCTCAGCCTCATTCATGGAGCAAATTCAACACACAAGACACAATGCGTCCTCTACCAAGAAGGTCACCCACTTCCTTCCCACCAAGCTAACTATGGTCACCTGGATGGTGCGCAATCCACTGAGGTCAATCCTGCCAACCCAAACTCCAGTGCAAGGAAGGAGAATTACACAACTTGATGTACCAAGCAATTTGCTGTTGGGAATAAGGGTTCATGCCACAAGACATGTGCAACTCCAGCATTGTGACCCTCTACAATAACAAAGGTGACCACCATGACCATGGGATCTCCCTGCTGAGTATAGTGGGGAAAGCCTTCACCTGTGTAGTTCTCAGCAGATTACAGCCATTCACTGACAGGATCTATCCTGAGTCACAATGCAGCTTTAAAGCTCAGAGGTCAACAGTCAATATGATTTTCTCACTGC